TCTACCGCGTGGTGTCCCCAAACGGTCTTCTCAGTGTATACCCAATTCATCTCCACTTTCTTGTGCGTATTTGTTGGACAATGGGTTCTTGATTGGTTCGTGGCCAGCCAGCCAGAGTTCCTTGTTGCTTATTCTTAGTATTCTGGCCATCTTATCTTTAGTATCGAGTGTGGGTAGGCGGCGGTTATTGATGAATATAGTTTGTTGGAAATGCTTTTCGTGACGCGCCAAGTTTCTGAACCATATAGAGGCACTGACTTGACTGATATCAGTGTTTAAAATCTGGATTTTGTTTTTGTGCTGAGTGCAGTCGATCTCCACCCTGGTTTCAGATTAATGAAAGCCTGTCTTGCTTTCCCGATCCTGGCTTTGATATCCTCATCTGTGCCGCCACCTGTAGTTGAAACGATGCTGCTCTGCCTAGGTAGGTGAAAGAGACTACTTCCTTTAGGTTTCTCCCGTTCATGGTGATTGGTGTTTGTTATTGTTGTTGGTTGGGTATCTTCATCACCTCTGTCTTCTCTACGTTCATTTGAAGTTCCGTCTTCTCTGCCTCTTCTGCCAACTTGTTGGTTTTTGCCTGTAGATCTTCGAGTTTGTACGGCATCAGATGGCATCATCATGGGCAAAATCCAAATGTTCTAGGGTCTTTTCATCGATCCAGCGTATGTCCGTCTACTCGCTCCTCACGGTTTGCTGCATGATCCAGTCGAGTCCACCACAATCAGGAAGATCATTGGTGACAGTAGGTGGAAACATTGTCTTACTCCCGTCTTCACTTTAAAGGCGTCACTAAGCTTCCCATTGTGAATCACTTGGCATGTGTCGTTTTCATATAGTTGTTGAATGAGGTTGATAAAAGTTTGTGGTATCCCATAGTGTTGAAGCAGTTTCCAAATCACTTCTCGGTTGACGCTGTCGAAGGCCTTTTCAGAATCGATGAAGTTGAGATAGAGAGTTGACTGACATTCTATGCTCTGTTTTGTGATGATGCCCAGCGTAGGGTAGCGTTGGAATTCGGTCCGCACATGATTTGTACTTCCTGAATCCAGCCTGTTCCGGTCGTAATTTTGAATCCAGCGCATTGTTTAGTCTCTCCAGGATGATGCGACATAATATTTTGCTTGGGATGAACAGGAGCATGATTCCGTGCCATTTCCTGTAAAGACTTAGGCCTTCCTTTTTTGGAAGTTTTCCAAGGTAGCCCTTCTTCCGCTAGCAAGGTACCTTTTCTTCCTTCCAAACCTTCCGCAGTAGTGGTGTGAGCGTGTCTGCCGTTGTCTCTGTGTCTGTTTTCAGTGCTTCTGGCGGAATTCCATTTGGCCCTGCTGCTCTCCCGGACTTCACCAGCTTTATGGCGTCCAGGATTTCTGCTTTTGTTGGAGGGTTTGTGTTCACTGGTAATTCTGTGGCTGCTGGTGGTATTTGTGGACGAGTTGCAGGTGGTGGCGGTCTATTCAAGAGATTCTCCAAGTGGTCAGCCCATCGTTTCCTTTGTTTCTCCTCTTTGGTAACTAGGTTTCCTTCACTATGTCTCATTGGTTTATCTGCGTTGATCTCTTCCCAGATAGTAACCTGGTTGTTTGATACAATGTTGTCAGGTCGCTGTCTCTCTTACCTGCAGCCTGTTCTGCTTCACTTTGCAAGTGTGTCGTAGAAGTGTCTTCTGTCTTTCCGTGCACTCTTCTTCACTTCTTTGTCCAGTGTTTTATAGATTGTACTCAGTTCCTCTTCTCATCGTTCATCCTTGTACTGGTTCATCTTCTGCTTCACCATCCTCCTCTCCCTCATCTATCAGCTTCCATGTGTCCGTCGAGATCCATTCTTTGTCTTCTTTCTTATTCCTTCCTAATACGGTTATGCAGGTTTCCTTCCACATAGCTTTCAAAGAGTTCCAGTACTCATCTACACAGGTTTCTTCGAGGATGTTGCTCGATATCTCCCACTTTGTCTTGATGGCTGACGTGAGGATTTCCTTTGAACTTTTGTCCTTCTGTTTGTGTTCTGGGTGTTGAACTTGAAGTGTGGTCTATCACCAACTTCCTTGAAGGCTTTCGACTTGGTTTTGAAGGCAGGTTCATTGCACTAGACAATGAATGGTGTGAACCTACATCTGCTCCACTTCTTGATCTGATCTTGTGTCTAGTAGGCTGCGTCTCCACTTTCTTCACACTGAGATGAAGTCGATCTGATTTTCAGTGTAGTGTGTCCTGGTGTCTGGTGAAATCAGATCCATGTCACTACCTTGTCAATATCCTTGTGTTTGTACACACTACCTCACTCCATCACCAAGTCGTTGAATGCGCAGAAGTCTGCAAACAATTCTCCATTCTCATTCATTTCACCGAGTGCTTCTCGACGCATGATGAGTTCTCTTCCTGTGATGTCCGCTCCCAGTTTGGCATTCATGTCACCCCACCCATCAGAATGAATTTTGATGTCGCCATCTGTAGTGGGTTCCTGTCCATTACTGATTACAGTTGTCTGTAGAATTCCTCCTCTTCTCTTCATCTGCATTATTTGTAGGTGCGTAGCATTGTACGATTGTGACTTTCCTTCCTTTTGAGTTGAACCTTGCTGTTGCGATCCTGCAGGAGGAGATTGGTTCCCACTGCATGAGAGAGAGCCTTCGATGCTCTTCAAGGGGACATCATGATAGCCACTCGAAAACTCAGTGTGCTGTGCTCGTGGTTGTCGTCTGGTTGACAATATCGGAGTAGATTATTGACTCTCCAGTTAACAATTTGGAGAGTCCACTTCTATTCCATCTGCTTTCGCAGATTCCTAGCACTTCAATACTATACCTTCTCATCTCCTTTGCAATCTGGGCAGCCTTGCTAGGTTAGAACATTCTATGTCTCCATTCCTACTTTCGCTTTCATCGACAGAGGAAGACACATCGGCCGATTGGTTTCTCGAAGGCTTTCAACAACCGACGTCATTTCGTCTCTCCGATTTCAGCAAGGAATAAGTTTGTTTTTGTTTTTCATATTTTGTTTGTGCTTTGAAGTTTCTCTAGGGATTGGATTGGTTTTCCGGGGTAGGGTTGCTAGCCCTATGCCCAACCTTCCCTGTTTATCGGGGCTTATGACCACTAGTAACTAGTGAACTAGTTTACCAGGCGAGGTTGCATAGCATTTAACCATCATATTTCCCCATATCATTAGTTTTCTGTCTTGCATTTTATGAAAATATCTAAGTTCTATCACATCAACTATATGGAAAACATGATCATCGTATAAAGATATCTGTTGACACCTTCATCATAACAGCGTCGAATGTAGCTTTAGTGTTGTTTAGAAAATTTTTGTGTACGTGATTTCCTAGTTAAAAAAACTAATTAAGTTTACAACCTCTGTTAATTAACCGAAGCTTGCAATAACCCACTGTTCACAATCTTCCCTGATACTGCAAAATAGATGGCAAAATATGTTGCTGTTATTCAACTGTCTGGAAATTTCAACCTTCGACTACAGGTTCAAAGTTCATTCCGCATAGTGTAATATGGACAATAACGTGGTGTGTCCACTCACATGTAAGTACAAATCAAAAGATATTAAGCGAAGTTTAAAGTGCTTGTTCGGTTTGTTTTAATTTGCGTTATTAGATAAGGGCGAAACCTTGTGAGATAAAAAAAGTGTAAGCCTATATAAACAAGCTTTCTTAAGTATACTGGACTGAATGAAATGCCTTAAACATTACCCAGAGAAGTTGAAAGTAGAAAAATAGTCAACACTACAATGAACCATCCGTAGCTACAATGTGACTAATTCGAAAACGATATAAATGTGATTCCAAACATAATCTGCCTACCAACCCAAGCGATAGGAACTCAGTCACAGCGAGCAGTTTTGTATGCTAGATTATGCACTGAGCATTTTGTAAGAGGGTTGGTGATACCACCTAGTTGGAAGATGTATTCGAAACCATACAGTACATAAAATATTGAGCTATAGTCCCAAAAATAATTCAACCTTAGATGAACGCCTGAAATATTAAGAAAATAATACAAAACTTTGAATGGTCAGCATATATATCACGCCAAGTCTTTTGGTGACCTGAAGTTTCGCTACATCAAATCTATTGGTACACTAAAAGTAGTGGAACACAGGATGCGTGTGATAGACTAGTCTGTTACAGCTGTACCGAAAGTTAACCAACACCGATCAGTGGGCCACAGGCTTGAACCCAGCTCAACCTACTGAGTTTTTTCCAAGAGTAAGGTAGCAAGTATCGCAAGCCTTCAGAGAATATACATCGTTTATCATCACCTAGTGAGCGAAAATGCATATGGATGATATGTTGCATTCTCTACATCGTATCTAGCTGAAATCCATAATTCAACAATCATAAAGAACGTGTACACAACAGGTCTTTGTTGATTTAAAACATTTTATTTAACAATAAAACTAATCTTACTTTCATTTTATGGCTGTGAACAACAATAACGAATAATAGAAGAGTACGAAAGAACAAACTTCACAAGATGACAAATTTATGAGACAAAAATGAGGTAAGGGAACGAGGCGAATGAGGATGAAATTCCAATCTAACAATACACAGTTAACTAACTTGTAAGCAAACGTAGTTGAGGAAATAAAGAGAAAGAAAGCATAAGAACAAAGAATAGGAGGTAAAATCTTTTCACTACAATTTAGTAACATTTTTGTTTATATCATCTTACAGGGGAAGAAAAAGAGAGAAACAACACACTACCTCTCACCTAAAAGTCTTGTTGAAAAAGAAAGCAAGCGTTAACAACGCTTGACGTGTGACACCTTCAATCAGTAACAAATGTGAAATTCAGTTTAAAGACAAATTGAGTATTTTTATTTTACTGAGTCTGATCACGGCACAAATGCAAGTACACAACATACATAAAGGTTTCTAATTAATGTAACACGCCAATATTAAAATATTCCGTTGGAAATAAAAATATCGCACGGTAACCAACAAAACACAACGTTAATAACTACAACCATTTATTTTAAGTAAACATACTAGTCACGTTTTTTATCGCTTGGAGACGGAGTCTGACGACTGATAGCTTCACGCATTCCAGGCGAATTGGCATTGTTTGCATTACTGTTGGCTAGGCTGGGATTAGTCTGTCCTGAGCCCGTACCAGACGCAGAAAGGTTTGCATTCCCAGCCATACTAGCTGTTGACGTTGATGTAGTGGTCCCACTTACATTTGAAAGATTTGGAGGTACAGATTCGGCAGTTCTAATGCGACTACGTTCAAAAGCACTGCGAATAGCATCGACAATGCCGCCGAACAAAACTTTGCAAACAGCATTCTCAAAAGGAACAAATGGATCTTTTAATCCCAGAAGGATCATTGTAATTCTGAAGTAAGAGTATACAGAATGGAGTTAAAATATGAGTGAATTATAAATAACGAAAAAGGTAAATAAAATGCTGTAATGAAACACAAAAGTATCTCTAAGGTGGCTTCAAATTGTTGAAGCTTTGATATTTTATGGTTTATTATTTTATTGAATTCTGAATAAATGAAATGGGAAGTGTAAGTTGGTAAATCTGTATTTAAATGGATAAGTCCACATACCATCAAACTAAATGAAAGCTTTGACGTGATGAAAATAAATCTGAAATCCATGTCTGCGCGGTAGTAACTAAGAGTCAGGTCACACCAAACCCTTGCAATAGTTACACGAATGCACGTGCACTAGGATAATGATCCACACTTATTATGGCGGTCAGTAAACCTAACTGGTCACTGACACCTCAGTGGGTGTATGAGAGTTCAAACCAGTGACCTAATCATCTCTACAACAATAAAAGAAGTGAAATTCCCTATTCAATTTTGGTTAACTGTACATTAGACTGAATGGATAAATTGGAGATTTTAATACAAGATTCGATAAGATTGATTGAAACTATAATCAAATAGCAACTACCTACGATCCACAAGCTAAACGAATGAATATCAAAAGACCGAACTTGTAGTCCATTGACTGTTTATACGCTATTCCAACAATATTATTTAGATAGATTCAAGATCTTTCATGAGATAAAATAGTCAGTTACATAGAAATATGTAAACAAGGTAGAATAAGTATTATCTTAATTTCAAACAAAGGCAAACAAGGTTAGCATATAATCAATCAATTCTTTCTAATATACGTGGAGCTTCAGATTTACTCCATCTAACACATATTTCAGCTTTTTCAGTTAAAAAACTTTAACATGCACCATATATGGTATTTCATGATGAAATCAAGCGATAACAGTGATCCCACTAAAACATTTACATATCAAGCTTGTTATGAGATGGAGTCAAACAAACTAGAACGTTAAATACAATCATCTAACCAACGTCACTTGCTTTAAATGAATTTCGACGGAGAAGTAACTGGATTCTAGTTAGTTTAGATTTTTTTAAACACAAAATTATGTTCTGTCCACTTCTACACTCCTGAGATCGGACCACTCACCTATTCTTTTCAATAAGCCTTTCCAACGATTGGTTTCTCCGAGGAAGATAATTTCCAATGGTTAAACATTATTTCTGTTACTATGATGGCAGGGGTGAGCAGAAGTGACAGAAGCATGCCACTCTTCATGAAGAGTGACATACTTCTGTCACTTCTTCCCACCCCTGTCATCCTAGTAGGAGGGAGATTGGAATACATTTGAGAAAACATGGTAGATAACACTGTCAACAAGTATTACACGCTGTTTTCAATCCTGTCTTGGAATTTGTTAATCTTTATGAAATTTAGTAAATTTCCTCTTCCTAAATTTAAGAAGTTAGAAAGAGAAAAAGAAAATTTAATGATGGCGAAAGATAATCCTGGCTTTTAAGAGGCAAAAGTTAAGCTTCTGGAATGGCCATGTGACCGGCCCCAAGCAGATGTCCATTCGATCTGTGGTCACTCAAGACTAATCCAATTTCGCTTTCAGGTGGTACCTCATGAAACATCAACTTCCACTATGTGGGCAGCTAGCTAGGAAGCCCTATCCGTTTACGTACATGCATCAAGATACAAAAACCATCTAACCATAATATGCCTTCCTTGTTTTCATCGTCTATTCATGTCACCACTATTGAGCCCTCAACTTCTCACCCTCAGACTATTACTAACGACCGAAGTCAGTAAAACACCATTCAAAGTTTCCCAAAATAAAGTTGCTAACTTCGAATTGGAGCTTTCAACGTCGGCATCGTTAGCTATCAGTGTATATGGTGTCTCTGAGATAAGCATACAAGACACAAATGTGGTTATTCACCGAACCCCAACTAGTCAATGTCATGAATTTCCAAATTCACTTCACGATCGACGCAGTTTCAATGCTTAGTTCTCATAGACTTGCTGGCATATGTATTGCATTGATTTGTAGATCAGAAAGTGCACTTTGCCACTGGATAATAGTTTATAGCTGACCAACTAAACAAAATATGTAAAAACCAAAAAAGGATCGCGAGATTCAAGGCTTTTTTGCAGTCTCCGGTCTATTTGCCCAACAACTGCAGTCTGGACGATGCGAATGATATTTAACCAAAATCTGTAGGTTTAGTTACGTAAAGCAAAACATTTTGATACTAGCGGGTGACTTCAGAGCTCACGTAAGGAGGTAGAGTTAATCAGAAAGGTGGTTTGATGGTATTTATGGAACACCATGCCAACGAGCCAAAAATGGTGATCGTTTTCTACACTTTTTTCATTGCAATCACTTGCTCCAGCGATAACTTCAAAAATAGAGAACATTACATTATTTGTCGTCAACCAATACTAAACAAACGTTGGATAGAGATGAGTCATATTGCCATCGTTGGGAGATATGAATGAATAACTGATGTGTTAGAACAGGCAAGTATATTTGCGTCTTAGTAGGGAAAAAACAGCAGTCAACACTGTGTGCTCCACTAGAGAGGTGGGTGTCAAGTGTATATTTGGAGGGAACGACTTTATTCCGAGTCTAGTCTAACATAATATTAAGTCCACCGTCGAAAAAGCAGTTACAAGAGTTGGCAACCCACGTCCAAAACCTCTCAAAGGTCAGTAAATTTCCGCTGACTTATTCGGGAATGAATGATCCCAGAGGATTGATTCTGACGGCTCTGATCCTAATGAACGGAGAAAGCAACCTAAAACTTGATTAAGAATTCCCATAATGACAGGAGAATCTAACAGTTAACCTCCAGAAACCTTTTCAGATTGAGGTAGAAAATTACTTACTACAATTACTTTGAAAATAACTAATGCACAGCAATCACAGATATCTACAGACTGGTCTAGATTGCTAATTATTTCAGTCTACCAGGAAGGAGAAAAGCATTGTGATAATCAAAAGGAGATCAGTTAGCCTAACACTGAGACTATGATTTTAGAGTCCGTAGTCATCCGACATAGAATAAGAGCTTGAAAGCAACAAACTCGAGAAAACCAGGAGGGCTTTAGATACAGACAGGGGAGCATCGACCAGATATTCACTCTTCGATAGCCTTTGCAGCAGAAGCATGCTTTCCGGCAACCAATACACCTTCCATATTTTTTAACCTGAAGGCTGCTTTTGACTGCTTGACTCAGAGTTCCTGTGGAAGTGTTTGACCCCAAAGCAATTACAAAGAAAGTGTATCACGCTTACCAGAGCTATTTACCTGGAATAACAGTCGTGTAAGACTTCACAGCGAGCTGTCATCTCAGCTAACGACATTCAGTAGTATCCACCAAATATATCCAAAATAATTCTCCCTAAAAATTTGGTATAGATCTAATGGTGAACATAAACCTTAGTACATGAAACTTCCAGTAAAGTAAACGGGCAAAATATTCGATGGTTACTGAGATTCTAGCGAAGAAGGACAGGTCCGTGATTTACTCGCAAGGGAGACAGCTGTGACAATAAGACAGCTCATCTAATGTCCAGCCATTATTATTCCACGGAAAGCTTTTCAGTGGGATCAGGAGGGGAAAACAGAAAGAGGAACAATACGACTCTTGCAGAAGTTGTAAGGGCTGTACGCAACCTGAAGTGTGGAAGAACAGCAGCGTCAGATAGAGTTATCAGTTAGATTAACTGAAATGTGCATTAGCGGGCGTATGGTGTGCAGACATAATTCCCTCCGACTAATCTCAATCACTGATTTCCCCAATCTACAAAAGGGGAGACAAATCCTCCTGTGATAACCATAGAGGAATCAGTCTGACTAAGATAATGTCTACCATCCAAGGTTCTACAATCAATCATTAGATGCCTAAGTGAAGATCTTAAACAGAAAACCGGATTAAATCAAGCAGATTTCAGACCTAGTCGTAGGTGTATCGGTCAGATATCCAACCTCAACCAAGTTCTGGAACACAACCACATTTCCCAGCGTCCAACATTAGCTATATTTATCCATCTGTAGGTGATATTTGACTCCATCGACTTTAAGGTCTCCTGATAGTGTCCCTCACAGAAAAGCATATAAGTTAGGTACACAAACTGGTTGAAAATTCTGCATTCGAAAACCACACGCAGCGCAAGAGTTAATGGTGAGGTATAAGGTGAGTCAACCTTGCTTTGTTAACTAGTTCACTAGTTACTAGTCGTCCTAAGCCCCGATAAACAGGGAAGGTTGGGCATAGGGCTAGCAACCCTACCACGGAAAACCAATCCAATCCCTAGAGAAACTTCAAAGCACAAAACAAAATATGAAAAACAAAAACAAACTTATTCCTTGCTGAAATCGGAGAGACGAAATGACGTCGGTTGTTGAAAGCCTTCGAGAAACCAATCGGCCGATGTGTCTTCCCTCTGTCGATGAAAGCGAAAGTAGGAATGGAGACATAGAATGTTCTAACCTAGCAAGGCTGCCCAGATTGCAAAGGAGATGAGAAGGTATAGTATTGAAGTGCTAGGAATCTGCGAAAGCAGATGGAATAGAAGTGGACTCTCCAAATTGTTAACTGGAGAGTCAATAATCTACTCCAATATTGTCAACCAGACGACAACCACGAGCACAGCACACTGAGTTTTCGAGTGGCTATCATGATGTCCCCTTGAAGAGCATCGAAGGCTCTCTCTCATGCAGTGGGAACCAATCTCCTCCTGCAGGATCGCAACAGCAAGGTTCAACTCAAAAGGAAGGAAAGTCACAATCGTACAATGCTACGCACCTACAAATAATGCAGATGAAGAGAAGAGGAGGAATTCTACAGACAACTGTAATCAGTAATGGACAGGAACCCACTACAGATGGCGACATCAAAATTCATTCTGATGGGTGGGGTGACATGAATGCCAAACTGGGAGCGGACATCACAGGAAGAGAACTCATCATGGGTCGAGAAGCACTCGGTGAAATGAATGAGAATGGAGAATTGTTTGCAGACTTCTGC